GGTTGAATGTCTGTCTACCTTTCAGCCTTCTTGGGAACATCCAGGCAGGGGGCAGGGCCCAGATACTATTTACAGGGATTGTCTGGATTTTGCAGGGGGAGGAGCCCGCTCGGCACTGTTTACCTGCCCGGCCCAAACGCCTTGGTGACCAAACCACCAGTCCCATTCTGCCTGAGGTAACCCAGAGCTGAGGTTGCCTGACCACTGCCCCTACTGCCTAGGGCTTTGTGCGACTTTCCTGGGAACGCTTCAAGTTGTCTGACACCACAGACCACGGGAACCATGGTAGGAATGACGGGGGAGGGGGGACATGATGCAGCTAGTAGATCAGGTCAGCTGTGTCCAGGCAGCACCTGTGTGAGTCAGGTATGGGAGTGTGCACCTGTAAAACAGGTGCGGGATGGCAAAGTCAGGCTGAGGCTGGAGTCATGGGAAGGGCCATGGGGATCCTCCAAGTGCTTCTTGGAACTGTTGGGGCATTAAAAGAGGTAGAAAGCCTAGGTTGGACTCTTAATGCCTTCAATTGGGTCTCTGCAAGCTTGGGGAAGACCGTTTCACCTCTCTGAGCCTTGATTTTTTGGCAGCTGAAAGAGGACTAATATCCTCTATTTGGTGACATTATTATAAGATCTAATAAGAGATGACATATAAAAGACCCAGCTATACAGTGTCTGACTGGCTATACAGAGGTGTGCAACAGGATTCTGATTCCCAGGCTGGAGGTCAAGAAGATGATATTGCCATTCAGCCCCTGAGACACACCCTGCTAGAGAAGCCAGGTCCCAGCCCTTGTCTCCTGGGCCACCTCTTCCAGCTCTTTCCCTGCAGCCCCTGGCCTCCAGCACTCTTATCTGCTGAGCCGTCACGTGCCTGGAGTACGGATTGATCTGAGGTCTGGTTTATCAGGTTCCCTTGTTGTTTGACCTGAGCCATCCCCTTGGCCTCAGAACTGGCCGAATTCCCTTCTGTCTGATCAGGAGGGAATCACAAGATAACACCAGGAAGCCCTGTGTGGGACACCAGCTTCAGAGTAGCCGCCACCCGTTTGATCTTCCTAAGTGGCCCTGACCTAAGAACCTTGGCAACCAAAGGGAGCCGGGGCTCTGCACTGTGTGTGGGATGTGGGGTTGGTGATGTGACAGCCTACAATTAGGACAGAGTGGCTGCTCACCAGCTGAGACCTGGCTTTCTTCCTGGTACAGGTCCATGGATGCAAAGGGTTCCAGTTCCAAAACTGGGCGAAGACCTATGGCTGCTGCCCAGAGATGTATTACCAGCCCACATCAGTGGAGGAGGTCAGAGAGGTGGGTTCAACACCACATGGGCTGCACAGTCTGCAGCCACAGTCCTGGCCCTGGAACAGAGGTCAGTGGGGGGCTTCCTGGTCTAAGCCCACCACAGTCCCTAACTGCTGTCCTGCTTAGGTAAACCCTAAGCTCCTCTTCCTGCTTCCCCCAGCTTCAGGTCTGCCCAGCAGAGGGCTGTAATTTCCATGCCCACCGCAAGGTGTGCACAGCCATGTGCCAAAAGCAGCCATGTCTGTACTCCCATCTCAGACTTCTGCAGTGAACTCCATGCAAACACTTGTGCACGGGCATGCGCACACACATGTGCACATATTCATGCATGCTTGTGCAGATAGATGCATATGCATGCAGACCTATGTATATACACATGCATGTACGCATTCATATGCATATGCACACACAGGCCTATGTGCATGCAACTGTACAAATGCACACACACATTCATACATCTATACACAGACACACAGACCTGTGCATAGATACCTGTTACAAATGCACATTTATGCATATATATGCATTTAGGCCTGTGCATACATATGCACATCTATAGACATGCACACACACATATATACATGGGTTTGCACACCTATACATATATGCATGAGTGCTTGTGCACATACATAAGCACACATGCATAGATACGCACTTACACTCACATCGGAGATGACTTTCTGAGAAGGATCAGGGTTGCCGGGGAAGGACACTAGTGAAGGGATTGAGGGCTGTACCCTAAAGAGACAAGAAAGAAGCATCAGGAATGGGTAAGAAGCTGGAAAGCAAACTGACTTTGGTGGCAATTAAGGGATGAGGGAGGGAACCAGGAGTGTGCTTTTGGCATAGCTACATAAGACGATGGTTTCTGAGATGTATTAGTCCCAGCTTACCTAGAAGCCCATCTCTCTGGCTCTCTGGAACCAGGCCAGGTCCACTAATGCCAAAGGTTCACTCTTCAATTTCTTCCCACCCGCTACAGACTACACCTGGCCCCGAGGGGCCCCTGGCTTTCTCTCTGAGCAGATCCTTACTGACTAATGTTGTCTTGGCAGGTGCTGGCCCTGGCTCGGCAGCAGAACAAGAGAGTGAAGGTGGTGGGCGGTGGCCACTCCCCTTCAGACATCGCCTGCACTGATGGCTTCATGATCCACATGGGCAAGATGAACCGGGTTCTGGAGGTACTGGGGCCCGTGGCTCTCTTCCCCAGCCTGTTCCTAAGCTGATAGCTTCAGCCTGTGTCCCGGACTCCATGTGTGTCCCAGTCGTGGCCTTAGTCCTCAGACTCTTCCTGCTCTGGGTCCCCAGAGTGACACCCTGATCCCTGGCCGTCCTGAGTAACTGTCTGTCACCTGAGCCCTCTCTGGGCTTGCTCAGGCTACTTGTCAAGTCTGCCTGGCCTGGCCACAAGAAGATGTCCATCCCTTCACTTGCTATAGCTTCCATTCTACCTCTTTCAAAGAGGTGTGGAGAAACAGACTCTCAAAGAGTAGAATCACAGTGACTACTCCACAAGAACCCAAAGCGACATTGAACTAGGCTTACAAAGAGACATGAAGATCAGAGACTTGCAGTGACTTGCCTGTGGTCACACAGCAAACAACAGCAAAGCTGGACCCAGACTCAGAACTGCCACTAGCTTCCTATTGCAATATTGTCCATGCAGTTTGCCTACTAGGGACACGGGATCCCAGAAACATGTGCATAGGACTTCAGTCCTCACCTGCCAGGACCGGCTCCCCTGAGCTGAATTCCACAGAATTCTCTCCCTTCCCCACAGCCAGCTAGCGATGACCTAGGTTCCTATCCTGTGCCCGTATTTGCTCAGACTGGCAGGCTCTGTCTCTTAGCAAACATCAGTCATGGCAGTAATTAACTCTGATTGCTAATTAGTGAGAACTGGACTTCAGCAATTGATTTTCCAAGCTCCGGGCCCTGGGTGGCTGTACGAGCAAGCGCTTCGTGGTTGGGCTGGTGTGGATCCTCGTCCCAGCTCTGCCACCAACTTTTCTGTTTGCATGACCTTGGATCTTGAAATAGCCCCTGGCTGCGGTCAGATCTCAGGATCCCACAGTTAGCCATTGCCCAGGTCCTTGGGGTGAGAGCAGTCTGAGACTTTGTCCTCCAAATAGCATGACCAGGCCCTGTGGCAACAGACCCTGTCCACACCTTCCCAGTGGGGACAAGGTGAGGAGCGTGGGTGTGGCCCAGCCCCCCATCCTAGCCCAAGAGTCCCAGGGCAAAGCTCTTGGCTTCTCTGGCTCTCCTTCCCTTTGCCTGTGAAAGGAGAAGTTGCACGGACATCCCTGAAGGCCTAAAGGGAGGCTCAGTCAAGAGTGTTTGCCCAGCATGTGCAAAGCCCTGGGGTTCCACTTACAAAACTAAATAAAGAGCTGACTTTGTGAGACCAGAAGCAAGGGACTGAGGCGTGCATCTGTAATCCCTCTGCTTGGAAGGCTGGTACAAGAGGATTGTACCTTTGAGGCCAACCGGGACTCCATAATAAGATTCTGTTTCAAAGACAAACTTTTCCCCAGTGTCCCAGCATTCTTGGGCTCAGTACCCCCATTCAGATTGAAAAGTGGCTCAAGCTGACCGCAGGCTAGGATAGCCATACTCACATTCCAGAGGGCTCTGACTGGGGGACCAAGGGCCCGAATGTGGCCTAGCTCCTCCCAGCCTGTGCTGACTCTGGCAGGTGGACGCGAAGAAGAAGCAGGTGAAGGTAGAAGCTGGTATCCTCCTGGCTGACCTGCATCTACAGCTGGACAAGCATGGGTTGGCCATGTCCAAGTAAGAGCCCCTCCTCCGGCCCCCACTGGGCCAGAGGTGCCTCTCCCCTCCTTGCTCTGGGCCCCCACACTCAAGGATCTGGCAGTGAGACAGTCAACACTTGGGGTGTACCCCTTCCTCAGAGCTCTGCCCTTCCCACTTGGGATGGCTTTACTCGTCATGCCCCATGGGTTAAGAGGGGGGGAAAGGTCCAAGTTGAGCAGAGTTTTGAGCATTGGTCAATGGTCTTGAACCAGGATGAGGCAACCGAGGATTGGTCTTTCCCAAAATTGGCAAAAAAAACAGCTACCAGAGCCCAAAACACAAAGGCAGGTAAAACCAGCCCAGGGAGGGACAGAAAGACAAGGTGGCCCTTCATGCCATGGCCTTCTGGTCCTTCTACCCAAATGCATTTGTCATTGCTCACCTTAGTCCTAGGGTTACCATCAGCACAGCAGTCAAATGCAGCTCACAGGGTAACTCTGAGAAAGTACCACCAGATGTCTGAACAGTGGTGTAGAAATCTCACTGCAACTGTTATTAACTCTGTGGAAATCTGGGGTTGATCTTCAGGTGTTGGGGTCAGCTCACCTCACCTTTCTAGCACAGGTCCCACAATTCTACACTATGGAAACCATTGTCCCCACCTCTCTCCCAAGGTCAGGATGGCTAGGGTATTTATAGGGTGACCGCCATGTATAGGCCATGTTTAGGCTCTGGAGATGTAAAGACAAAGGAAACCCAGACCCACCTAACAGGAGCTCCAGCAGGGGGCAGGTAGATACAGATACTGACCAGTACTGTACAGGAAGGAGGTTCAACATCAGTGACATGTTGAGGGGACCGAAAGACTTCAGGGCTCCCTAAGTTCAGCATGACTCATTCTGGGCCTGGACCCCTAGTCAAAAGGAGCTTAGCTTTCTCCCTAGAGCCCTGAGGAAGTTGTGTGGGTTCCAAGTAGGACAGGTGTCTGGGCCCTCTCCCCTTCCTTCCCTTCCAGCTCAGGGAGACTCACCTACCTAGACCTGCTGGGATAGCTGTGTGTTTAGAACCAGGGAGGTACCAGAGCCTTGGTGCTTTGGGAGCAGAGGAGTCTCAAGCAGAACCTGTGGTTCTGCTTAGAGAAGATGCCTTTGGTAGGCAGGGAAAGGGCTACAGAGACCTCAAAGGCTAAATATAAGTCAAGCCTCCCTGCAAAAGGGCCCATGCCCCAACCTGCTCATCTGCTGGTCATGGAGGTCAGGGAACCGAGGCCTGAAGAGATGGGCTGACCACAAGCTAGGCCGTCGAAGGGGAGTGGGGGGATTCTCAGGGAGAAAGAGGGTCTTCTGTCCCAGAGAGCATGGATGCATCTGGGGCTCCCTGAGAAGTCTGACTGCTCTCTGTCTCCCTCGCTCCACCTGCTGAGCACAGTCTAGGAGCGGTGTCCGATGTGACAATTGCTGGCGTCATTGGGTCTGGCACACATAACACGGGGATCAAGCATGGCATCCTGCCCACCCAGGTGAGTGAGTCCCCTAGGTCCATGACAGGTTAGGTCCATCTCTGCATGGGCCTGAGACACTTGAAAGTGCCCCCTAGAAATGCCACTTCCTTCCCTAAACCTTACCAGGCCTGAAGGAGCCCCAGGTTTGTCATGGCCTTAGCCACCCCAAGGGACACTCTCATCCCCACCCCTGTACATCCTCATAGGAAGCACAGGGCAAGGGGCACCAATTCCTTTGGAAGTTATAACCAGGAGCCAGGCGGGGGATGGGACTCCCCAGGGTAGCAGTGGAGGTAGGGCCTGCAAAAAAAAAAGCATAGGGGTAACCTGTGGCAGAATCTGTCTGTCCTCATTTAAAAAAAAAAAAAAAAGTTTATTTTAATCCATCTCTCCCTGGGTCTGTGTACACTGGTAGGGTCCCTAGCTTCTGGGTACATTGCTGTCAAAATCCTCAGTCAAAACGAAGATAGCCCAACCCACAGAGAGAGGACACAGTGTGAAGGTCATGAGTTAGCACTCATTGAACGGTGTCTGGCCGAATGGCAGTTCAGAGCTACCTGCCTCAGGAATGGCCTTTCTGAAACCAAACACTTTCAACTCTCCACACTGCCAACTTGGGGTCCCTCATGGCCATTGCCTTCTCAAAGCCGGGCTTACTGCCGCAGGGGCCCAGTGGTCTCTGGGGATATAGGCAGCACTCCCAAGAGATGAGCCCAGTGCATCACTGTCTAGGACCGATGTCAAAGATGGTCATGTCAGTTGCTCCGCGCTGGTCGTCAGGGTGTAAAACTAATTTAAGGGGGTCACTCATTAACACACACATAGGATTTATTGGTTACTTTTCTTTGGAAGCCCCACTGAGCAGGCCTGGAACCAAAGAGGTGGGGCTTGTTCTGCATTGCAGTCATGCAGATGACCACGATATTGGTCGCTTTTTGATACCGTAACAGTGTCTGAGAGAAATGCGCTTCAAGAAGGAAAGGTATATTTTTACTCAGTGGGTTTAGAGGACAGGTAAGACCCAGGAAAGCTGTTTGCTACACAGCAGCTAGGAACCAGGGATGGCAAAAGAAGGGACCGAGAGCAGGAGAGGTCCTTCCAGGGCACACCCCCAGTAGTATATTTCTTCCAGTTAGACCCAACTCTTGACTTTTTCACAACCTCCATCAAACTAATAGTCAACCCATGGATCACTGAGGTCAAATCTATCATGATTTAACGGCTTCCTCCAGACCCATCAACTGGCAACCAAGACTTTAACCCATGCACCTGTGGGGGACATTTCAGATTCAAGGTAAAAAGGTGGCCAGCTCTCGTATTGCGTCGGCTTACAGTGGGAGGTTAGTCCCAGGCTTCACACTTGATCCTCCTACCTTCCTAAGTAGTGATGGCTGTCACCTGTTGAGGTCACAGGAGTGACTAATTCAGAGCCCCACCCTGCACAGGCCTTCAGATGCTCAAGAAGCGTCTCTCACTGGCCTGCTCTCCTCAAGGCTCTGAATCTCCAACGGTACAACAAATACCGAGATGCCACCCTGTCCCCACAGCTGGCCACGGTGTCCCACTTCTGTCAGTTCCTCCTCTCTGCTCTCCGGTCACTGTTAATCAGGATTAGTTCAGCTGTAGCTGTCCTCTCTCCCTGAGCAACCAACCACCAACTGCGTGTGTCAGAAGCGATTTCCATCCAAATGAGCAGGTAGCAGAGTACAGAGAAGGACCCCGATAGCCATGAGAGAAAGCCCTTCTGCAAGTGGGGACCCCGGGGACCTCCCTCAGTTTGCAACCAAAGGCCTCAACACTCGCAGAAACCCAAACTTTCTAGTCAGGTGAGGCTAAGCAGGAGAATGCATTTCCTGGGGGTGGGAGGAGTCCTCTGTTGACGAGGAAGGCTGTTGGGATCTCAATCCGCTGTCTCATCTGAGGGTACACATGTGCTCACTCAGCCTTGTGAAGCACATCTCCTGCGGATCTGTTTCTCCAGGCAGCAGAGTATCACCAGGCAGTGGAGGTTAGCTGCTTCTTGCCTGTGAGGTCACAGAATGATGGAGGAGAGGCCAAGCCAGCAGGGTCCCTGTGACAATGTACTCCACACTCCTGAGAGTTGAGCGCTGATGCCAGGTTCAGCTTTCCTCTCACCCATTTCTCCCCCGGTTCCCAGAATGCCCTCTCAGAGTAGTATAAGACACCTAGCTAGGAAGCTGTGTGGCTGGCCATGGTGGCTCCTGGGAGTAAGTGCTGCCTGGTCTCTGTTGTACAAGTCTGAAAGCTGGGTGGTTCTGAGCGGGCTATTAAGAGTGACACCTCGCCCTCTGCCAGGTGGTGGCCTTGACCCTGATGAAGGCTGACGGGACAGTTCTGGAATGCTCCGAGTCAAGCAACGTGGAGGTGTTCCAGGCTGCACGAGTGCACCTGGGCTGTCTGGGCATCATCCTCACCGTGACTCTGCAGTGCGTGCCACAGTTCCACCTCCAGGAGACCTCCTTCCCTTCAACCCTCAAGGAGGTACTAGCCTTCCGCTCTCCACTGCCCAGCCTCAGAAAACAAATGGAGGGCCCAACCAGGGGTCCTCACCCTCAGACAGTTCCCGTGGACCTCTGGTGTCCTGAGGGAGAGGGGTTTTCATTTCACACACACCCCCTTTCTTTCGTGTCCCAAGAGAGACTGGTCAGAAACATGGTGAACTTTAAGACCCAGAAGAGCCTCAAGATTTACTTGAGCTGTAGATGTAGAAGGGGTTTGAGCGGAGATCTGCCCCAGGAAACCCTGAGGACTAGCTGTTCTCAGGCACTGACTGGCACCTGTCCTATGAGGGGACATGCCAGGACTCCCTTACCATGGAAGACACCACAGGCTGAGATCTGGGCCCAGTCTCTAAACATGGTCACATCCTAAGGAGGGGAGGTCAGTTAGGGAGTCAGGGTAGGAATCTAGTAGACACAGGTCAGGCAGTGGCAGAGAAACCCCTGGGAAACTGATCAATGAGATGGTCTGTCACCCCGCAAAAGGGGGCTTTTGTGAAAGAGGAGCCTTTGAAGGCAGCGCATTTGACTGACGAGAGAGCCCAGAGGGGTTAGCTAGGCAGGAATGGAGGTAGTGAGGAAAGGTGGGGTTCCCAAAGCAGCAGGAATGGGTGTCCACAGCATGCTGCAGGGAATCAGATCAATCCCAGGAGGCCATCGCTGACCTCCATGAGAACAGCTGCAGAGGGGCTCCTAAAGGTGCAGGAGAAAAGGACCATCGCAGGCTAGGAAGGGATGTGTATGTATCTAGGACCATGTTCCAGCAGAAAGAGGTTGTAATTTTGCATGCTGCATTGTTAAATCTTTTGTCCTGCTTCCAAGTCCAGCTAGAATGTACTGATGCTTAATCTGGAGCTTTTGACCAACAGACAGGGTTTGTCTGTCCACCTTTAGCTGTCCTGGAACTCACTCTGTACACCAGGCTGGCCTCAAACTCACAGAAATCCACCTACCTCTGCCTCCCGAGTGCTGGGATTAAACACATGTACTACCACACCCAACTCCTATTTGGTAATATTAAGACAACTTCAGTATTTTCTTCAATTTGAAATAAACCAAAACATGCCCAGGCCTGGACTTGGGTTTATTGACTTCTCTCTGTGACTGAGAGCTTCTTCCTGTACCAGTTTCTTTTGCATGGTGGTCACCAATGAGAGATAGGCACATGTTAAAGGAAGAAGGGTTCCTTTGAGCTTACAGTTGCAGGGCATTCTGCCCATCACAGCAGGGAGAGCAGAGTAGACAGCAGGAAGCAGAGGAAGTGGGGTACAGGCAGGGACCAGTTATGCCTCAGCTCTGACCTTCCGATAATATCTTCATATTATGAATCCATCAATAGCTTGGCTTGGGCAGGTGGTGGTGGCAGCAGCTCACACCTTTAATCTCAGCACTCAGGAGGCAGAAGCAGGCAGATCTCTGAGTTTGAGGCCAGCTTGGTCTACACGGCAAATTAAGAATAGCCAGAGTTATTAACACAGAGAAACCCTGTCTCAAAAAAACTTAAAAAAAAAAAAAAGAAAGAAAAGAAAAGAGCCTGACTCATTGATTTGGTCAGAGTCTGCACAATCCAATCATCTCTGGAGACACTCACCTAGACCCACTCAGGGCTTTCACTAATCCAGGTGTTTCTCAATCTAACCAAGTTGACGTCAAGATCTTCTCTCCTACTTCCTTCCCTCTTGTGCCAGGTCCTGGACAACCTAGACAGCCACCTGAAGAAGTCAGAATACTTCCGCTTCCTCTGGTTTCCCCACAGTGAGAACGTCAGCATCATCTACCAAGACCACACCAATAAGGTAAACACAGTGAGGGCCCAACCTGGCCCAGCATCCCGGAGCAGGGGGCTGCTGGTTAGTAGAGTACTCACTGTCCATCCTCACCGCATCCTGCACACCCTCCCTATCCCAGGGTAGCTGACATTTGTTGTCCTGATGCCTAGGGAAATGGGCTTGTCATTGAACATGAAGAGAGGATGAGACAGGCGAAGGTGGGAAGGAACGTGGCTAAGATGGGGTCCGGCATGTCAAAACCTAGATGTGGGAGGGAGACAGAGAGAACTGAAGTACATGGAGGAGCAGACAGGATGGATGAGTGTGAGACAGCTGGCCTGGCCCACAGGATCCTTCCTTCTCTAACACTTCCGCTCTTCCACTTCAGTTGAAGAAAAATCCTATTTTGTCTCCTTTAGTCACAGCCTTGCAGGTATGGGGCTTCTTAACAGAAGGAAAGAAATGTAGCAGGCTTTCTTTAGGGCCACCAACCAGCTCCCAAATCATGACTCGGAGACTTATTATTCATTCTGAATGCTCACGTCTTATGCTTGTCCCACTAGCTCTTATTAAAAACTGAAACTAACCTGTTTCTCCTCTTCTACATTTTGCCTCAGCTTTTTTACTTTCCCTTCATTCTGTATGTCCTACTCCATGACTGACTAGCTCTGGGCTTCTCCTCCTTTGTCTTCCTGGTCTTCTCCTCCACTAGAGTTGAACTTCCTCCTCCTACTTTTTCTCTCTTCCTGCCAGCCCCATCTATCCCTCTACTGCCTAGCTATTGGCTGTTCAGCTTTATATTAGACCAATCAGATGCCTTAGGCAGGCAAGGTAAAACAGAAACACATCTTTACATAATGAAACAGATGCAGCATAAACAAATGTAATACACCTTTACCTAGTTAAATAGTCTGTCACATAAACAAATATAACACATCTTTACCTAGTTAAAGTAATATTCTATTCCACAACAAAAAAAGCCATCACTTACCAGCTGAGGTGTTGTTGGCTCAGCTGATAAAGTGCTTGTCATGTTTGCAGCGTCCCCAGCATCCAGAAAAAATAAATATAAAGAGGCTTTGGGTGGTAGCACACATCTGTATCTCTACTGAGGAAGTAGCGATGGGAGGAATCCTGGGGCTCAGTGGCCAGTCAGTCCAGCTACTGGGTAAGCTCCAGGTTCAATGTGAGACTGTCTCAAGAAATTAAGATGGAGAGACTAAAGAAGATGCTCAGTATTGGCTTCTGGCCTGCACAGGTGCACAGATACACATATAAGCATACACAAAATGAGCCTTTAAAATGCCATAATTTAAAAATGAATGTCGGTGGTGTCCAAATCCTCCTGTGTGTAGGGGACAGTACAGGGTTTGTGAAGGTGACTGCTGAACACCTGGATCATAGGATCACCAGAAAAGACAGCGACTGTTAAGCCTGACCTGATGACCTGAGTTCAATTCCTGGGATCCACATGGTGGAAATTAACTTTGCCATGGAAAAAGGCTTCCAGTTGTCCTGGCCATCTTACTTTCCTCCCTCCTCCTCTAACATTAATCCCTCCTGGGACATGTCTTTTACAGTTGCTCTTATGGGGTGGGGGGGGCTGCCACCCAGCTCCCAAATAAATCACAAAGAGGCTAATTCTTTCTTATGAATGCCCAGCCTAAGCTTGGCTTGTTTCTAGCCAGCTTTTATTAATTTAAATTATCCCATCTACCTCTTGACTGGGCTTTTCCCTTTACTTATGTATATCTTATTACTTTCACTCTTACTCCATGTCTGGCTGGGCAGCTGGCCCCTGGTGTCCCCTCTTTTTCTTTCTTTCTTTCTTTCTTTCTTTCTTTCTTTCTTTCTTTCTTTCTTTCTTTCTTTCTCTTTTTGAGACAGGGTTTCTCTCTGTAACTTTCCTGGCTGTGCTGGAACTCACTTTGTATACCAGGCTGGCCGTGAACTCACTGAGATCTGCCTGCCTCTGCCTCCCAAGTGCTTGCATTAAAGGCATGCACTGCCTGGCTTCTCCTTCTTTTCCTTGTTCATCTTTTCTTCCCAAATTTCTCCTCCTATTTATTCTCTCTACCTCCATCCCCACCAATCCTTGGTCTTGCCTACCTATTGGCTGTTCAACTCTTTATTAGACCAACACAGTGTTTTAGAACAGGCAATTGACACAGCTTTACAGAATTAAACAAATATAACAGAAAAGACTGCAAGATATCTTTGCATCATTGAACAAATATTCCACAGAATATTGCAAGATATCTTCACATCATTGAACAAATATTCATTCCACAGCATAAACGAATATAACACATCTTAAAATAATATTCCACAACAGTCTTCTAATGGGACATCATGATAAACAAGTCAGAAGTTGAGCCCTGGTGCCTAGCTCTAATACTTATCCTTCTAGCCCCCCTCCTCTGCATCTAGCTGGTTTTGGGACTGTGCCATCGGACTCTACCTATTGGAATTCTTGCTCTGGATCAGGTAGGAATGCCATGGGACTTCTATCCCATCTATTTGTATGCTGTGGAGGACACAGTCCATGAGAAGAGTCCCTGCCTTTGCACCTGCAAACTGGGTCTGCCTCCTGGGTCTAGGGCCATGGTTTCAGCTCTGGCCACACACTGGAATCACATGGAGAGCTTGGGTATATTCTAAAAACAACAAAAGTCACGAGGATTTGAAGGAGAGTAAAGCACCCTGGGAGCTGGCAGCCTGTGGACTTGGGAAAGGCAAGGGGACTATGAGACTGAAGGAGAGGGTTGAGTCCACATGAGCAGTGCGTGTAACAAGTCAGCAGGAGTACAGGAAAAGTGGTGGATGGGTGGTTTGGCGGATGGATGGATGGATGGATGGATGGATGGATGGATGGATGGATGGTTTGGTAGGTGGGTAGATGAATGGATGGATGGATGGATGGATGGATGGATGGATGGATGGATGGATGGATGGGCGATTTGGTGGTTGGATGGATGAATGGGCAGTTTGGATGGATGGATGGATGGATGGATGGATGGATGGATGGATGGATGGATAATTTGGTGGATGGATGGGTGAGTGGATTCTGAGCATCAGTGTTTTGTTGCTGTGACAACACACCTGAGAATGTCATCTTAAAGGAAGGGAGGCTTATTTAGGCTCATGAGTTCAGAGGTCCCAGTCCATGGTCATTGATGTCCCTACTGTTGGGGCTGAGGCAGAGACTCAAGGTGAGGACATAGCGGTGAAGAACTGACCACCTCACAGCAGGCAGGAAGCAGAGAAATGAAAGGTCTGTGGGTAGATACACATTCAGAGGCACACTCCTAGTGACCTGATTCCTCCCACCTGAGCCCTATCTCCTGAGAGTCCACACAACTGAGAACTCCCTGATGGTGTGTCAACTCACTAAGAAGGCAGCACCCACCTCGTGATCTAATTGTTTCCTGAATGCACCACCAGCCAAAGAGGAATCCTGTGTGTGTGTGTGTGTGCGTGCGTGCGTGCGTGTGTGTGTGTGTGTGTGTGTGTGAACAATGGCATGGTGAACTTTCTAGAGCCAAAAGCTGAGAGGCAGTTGTGTCTTGGCCCAGGAAGCACTGAGCTCTCTTTCTATAGTCCCCCAGGGAACTCCCAGCATTGTATCTAGGGACAAGAGTCTAGCCCAAGACCCTCTCCCAAGACACTGGCCCCCTTTAGCTTCTTTCTCTTGGCAGCATTGAATCACAGTTCCCAGGGTGTAGACGGAGAGCAAACAGCACATTCTTTATGGAACTAAACCCGGCAGGCACCTGCAGAAATTAAAACCACACTCTGCCTTGACCTGGCTATCCCATAAGGCTTTGAGACATAGACATCTGTTATTGCGTGGTACAAAGTGACAAGATCCTGCACATAGTCTTAAGGGCTGGCAGTAGGAGACCAACACCATACTGGCTTAAACCTGTATACAGCAAGGCCACTAGGAGTGTAGAAGTGAAGAGTGAGGGCCTGATGTGGAAAGAACTCAGCCCACAGCTGACACACAGTAATTGCTCACACACACACACACACACACACTCTGCCTCTCTGCCCTGTCCCCTCCAGCACCTACTGGCCATTCCTCGTGGGCTGGATCAACCGCTTCTTCTTCTGGCTGCTGTTCAGCCATAAGAAGAAGAGCAGCAACCTCAGCCACAAGATCTTCACCTACGAGTGTCGCTTCAAACAGCACGTCCAAGACTGGGCCATCCCCAGGTAGCGCACGCCCCCAGGCCTACTATGAAAAGCAGGGACCCTCTAGAGCTGGGAGTCCCTATTGCCTGGGCTGAGGTTCCCCGGGAGCCCTGAATGGAACCATGGAGGGGGACTGGGGCAGTGCCTTCTTACTCTGGGGTCTCTCCTGGGCAGGGAGAAGACCAAGGAGGCCCTGCTGGAGCTGAAGGCCATGCTGGAGGCCCACCCCCATGTGGTAGCCCACTTCCCCGTGGAGGTGCGCTTCACCCGAGGTGATGAGATCCTGCTGAGCCCTTGCTTCCAGAGAGACAGCTGCTACATGAACATCATCATGTACAGGTGACAGGGCCCTGCAGGGCGTGGGGTAGAACCCTTGCTGTTGTCAGACTCTCTGCCTGTGCATTACACTGTCTCTGTTTTACACTACGGTAGCTAACCTGTGTAAAGCAAAGTCCAGGCAGGAAGTGAGAAAATTTTCAGCTCCATTACCTTAGGGTCTCTGGCCAAGATTAAACTCACAGTCATATGCAGGTACCAACTGATGAACACAGAAAGGGGACAAAGTCTTGGGGATGCGCCATGCGCAGAAGCCTTCAGGTGCTTGTCCTGTCTGTGCCGTCCTGCAGGGAGGGCCAGTCGGATCTCCAGTCACCTGCCGGATTAGGGCAGGCTGCTGGGAATGCACCCGAGGCAGGAGGGGCACCTCATGAGACAGGGAAGGCCGGATAATCATCTTTTCTCTGCCCTAGACCCTATGGCAAGGATGTGCCTCGGCTGGACTACTGGCAGGCTTATGAGACCATCATGAAGAAGTTTGGAGGCAGACCCCACTGGGCAAAGGTAACTCTTCGGCACCCATCGTCACGGGGCTGCTGCTATGCGCTTTGCTTCCACCAGAGGGCGCCGCTCCTCTCCATTACTCTGAGCTAGTAAAGGGGCCCTTGGGGATTTTCATAGAAACTTCCTTCACTTTATAGGATTATCCTGTGGCGCTTGTGCACGGGATAAGGATCTGTGTGTCCATTTAACAGATAGGAAAGAGAAGGCCTGTGCGGTGGTGGGACCAGAGCCAGGAACTCCATGGTGTTATGGGATGAGGGGACCAGTGATGAATTCTAAATTCCTTCCGCTTTACTTTCCAAACCCCTTTCTTTCTGTCTGGGAGTCTGTACTGTGTGTAGAAGGTGGGGGAGCAGTGTCATAATGCAGGCTCGGAGACGTTGGGTCCTGGCTTGTAGCGTAGCCTGCCAGCTCCGTTAAGACGAAGTCTACTGCGTCTGCTTGCTTCCACAGGCCCACAATTGCACCAGGAAGGACTTTGAGAAAATGTACCCTGCCTTTCGAAAGTTCTGTGACATCCGCGAGAAGCTGGACCCCACTGGAATGTTCTTGAATCCGTACCTGGAGAAGGTGTTCTACTAAAACAGGAGTAGCAGAAGCCACCCCCACCCCTCACGGTCCTGCGACCTTTTGGGGGGGGGAGATAGAACAGGGTCCCACAGGCACAGTAGGGGCCGACCTCCTCTCCTGACCACACAGAAGGGCTGGGCTCGGGGTGGGGCCTCTCTGCCCCTTTCTCCACCGTCATCAAAGCACCCCAGGCAAGAGGCAGCCTCTCAGTCAAGTTCCTGTTTGCACACCCGTGAATCCCACAGGCTGGGGATTTGGTCATTCCTAGGCTCTGTCAGCCAGGTGCAGTGAGTTTCCTGCGGCCTGAAGTTCCCCAGCCCTCTCCAGAAGGAATCCCTTAGCGAGAGTTTTAGCACAGGGCTGGCGTGGAGCATCCTCTGCATTCTTTTATCTTTAAAAGCTCTTCTGGATGCCCAGCGACTGTCTGGTCCTGGGTAAACCATCTTCCAGACGGTTCCCACTGGCCTGCCGTGCCTGGCCCTCACAGTGCCTCTTTCAGCATCCCTGGCCTCTTCTGTGTGCTTCCCTCCCCTCGCCTCAGAGACAGGTCTTAAAAGCAGGAGTCTCACCATGGTTTTCCCCAGGTACCGTTCTCACCTTCCCCTTCACAAGGGTGATTTCAGTTTGCTCTGTGACCTTTCTAGAGTGTTCCCTGGAGAACCAAGATTCTCCAGCTGCTTTGTAAAAATTAAAAGACTCTGAAGATATTGTTCTGCCTTGAGAAGTTTATATTAATTCTTTATCTCGTAAAGAGCTAAAGTGCAAAACGTACTTACCAACGGAACTGCCAGATCAGCAAAGGGACAAAGGACTCGGGTAGACTGCAAATGCACACAGGCCACTGAACGCGTAAAAAATCGTTCAGCATCCCTGTCATAGGAATGTGCAAATGGAGGCCATGGACTGACACTCTTAGTATCAACAATAACACATAGTTTAATGTAGAAGCTTACTCAAAACACTATAGTTTTTAAATTTTTTTAATTTTTTTAATTACATTTTACATTTCAACCACAGTTCTCCTCCCCACTCCTCCTCCCTCCCCAATCCCCTACCTCCCTTCCAGACCACCCTCCATCTACTCCTCATGACAGGTAAGGGCTCTGATGGGGAGTCAACAGAGCCTGGCACATTAAGTTGGGTCAGGACCAAGCCCCTCCCCGCTGCATTAAGGCTAGCATGGCATCCCACCACAGGGAATGGGCTCCAACAAGCTAGCTCATGCACCAGGGACAGATCCTGGTCCTACTGCCAGGGGCCCCTCCGATAGTCCAAGCTTCGATTTTTTTTAACTTGATTGCCTATTTCTCGTGTGTGAGCTTTGTAGATGATAGTGCCAAGTTGACTAGCCAAAAGGTTAAACAGGCCTATTAGGGGAAATTTGGGGGCTGTAGAGTCCACCCTAACTCCAGCCAGAGTTTTCAGCCCTCAGAGTGACCTTGACAACTGAGATCACCCTCACGTAAGCCCAACATTGCTATTGAGGCCTCTAGAAAGGATTGGAGTGACCAACGAGAGTAAATGTGGGGCTGGAGAGATGACTCAAGAATTTAACAGTATGCACTGATCTTATTGCAGACCCAAGTTTAATCCCCAGCACATGGTCAAGAGACTTATGAGCACCAATAGCTCTAGCTCCCTCTTCTGGACGCTGTGGGTAACTGCACTCAAGTGCGCAAACCCACACATGTATATATACAAATAAAAATTTTTTTAAAAAAAAAATATCAAACTAAGCTCTGAGGCATTGGAAATCACCAGGCCTAAATCAGCTCTACCTTGCCCTTCCACAAAAGAGGAGGCTCAGGGAAGAGAAGAAACATCAGTATCTCAGAGCAAGCTGAAAAAGACAATGTCTTTAAACTCTAATGTCAGCTAAAGCGACAGGGAATTGGTCAGGCTGCATAGGCATGGATGAAAAGGCCAACCGCTTGTCACTTAAAGAAAAATTTAAAAAAAAAAAACAACTGTCTGTTAGTAAAACATCCTGTATCTCTCGATCAATGAATAAGACAACCCAAACCCAGCTGGGTCAGCATGATTGAGCAACACGCTCACTGACTGTCCTTGGCTCCGCTATAATGGCAGCTTGCCCTCGCTGTCCTGGCAAGATTGTCTCCCCCATTATTCATCTGATGTCATAACACATCTGGAAAACCCCATAACGGACCAAAAACAGTGAACCCCATTCTGGGAAAATCCACACATAGAATCCCCCACCTACCCCACTTTAATTCATAAATAATCACCCTTCCATTAAGTTTGCTCATAAAGGGGGCTATCCAAAATCCCAATGACTCCAAACCCTTGAGAAGCCCTCAATTCCTCAAATGTCCTGCCCTTAAGTCTGTCTGTCTGTCTGTCTGTGTGTCTTCATGCCCACACTTAAAGCCTGCATTGTCGTCTTACCAAGTCCAGAACTTTACTGACTCCAACTTCGCTCCATGCTGACTCATCCTTAAAATAATTTCTTCCCCAGAAGAGGCTGCGCCCAAGTAACAGCCTGGGCCGAGCATCCCCTGCTGCTGGAGACAGGAGCACCCTTTACAGTGTGTATTTTAGAGGGTTTACATTCAACCCTTAAACTCTATGGGTTGAGCAGTCTATTCCAGTCACAGAGGCAGTGAGGGAAGGACTAAGTCCAGTGACTTAGACCTGAAACTTCCAAGTTCCTTAATTCTTCAATTCCCAGGTTGCTCAGTGAACCCAGTGTTCTGGAAATACACGTTCTCGCTGCCGGAACACCTGCGTATCCTGAGGGGCTTTGGCCTCTGATCGATGTAATCTCTTCTTTCTTTGAGCTACTGTCTTCCGACTTCTGCAGGCTATCCCTTCAGAAGACCGCCATGGCATCATCCTTTTGATATTGAGGGATGCTGGGCTTCCAAGGGCATTGCTGGTCTAGATCCCCCTTTCCCCCCTCCTTCCATCTTTCTTCTGTTTCTTCTGGTCCAAGTTCCCATTGGCTGAGTCCTGTCTGCAGCTGCCTCCCCATCAGCTGAACCCCAATCAGGAAGCAGCTCATCCATGCCCCTGGGGGCAAAGGCTAACCTCCTCTCTGGATGTGGGAACTCATGGGTACTGAGATGTGGGCCCGTTCCTGTCTGCTGAGCCTGGACTCTAACAAGTGGGCAGTAATCACTAGAGCATGCAAGAAATGAAAATCAAGTTGGACGATGAGGACCAGTGCCCTCCTGGGGTGGGAGCAGGAATTAGGATAACAGCGCAGCAGCAGCTCTCCAAGCTGAATCTGGGGGGAGGTGAACAACCACCTCTCCACTTGTCTCCCTACTCCTCAGGTAAGCGGCTGAGAAAAAGAGGGGCCCTGGTGAGCTCTGGGGCTCCCATAGGGTGCAACCACCAGCTCTTTGTTCTGAGGTTCTTGTCAAACCCGAATAAACTTAAAGGATGCAGACAAGTGGCCCTTATGTCCTGGGGTCTCTGGCTCAGGATGGGACAAACTTAGACAAGTCAGCCAGACCACTGACATGGTGAGCCAAATGTCCAGTGCCCCCACAGGCTCCCATGTCTGAGCACTTGGTCTCCAGCTGGTGGGGATATTTGGGGATGGTTGTGGAACTGTTCGGAGATGAACCTTCACTGGGCTGTGTCTGGACTGGCAGTTCTTTCTCGAGTTGCTGCTGTTGGGGTATTTTCCTCACAGCAATAGAAAGTAACTGATATTGGAGAATGGGTCAACTCTGTCACCTTGGAATCTTGGATAAGACATGGTGACCTGGCAGGGAAGCAGACTGGTAGCGCTGGCTGGGGAGGGTTGTCAAAGCACACCAACCGAGAGAACACACAGCTCATGAAGGGACCTCTGGTCATTCCATGGGAGCCTCTTTAGGTCTCTGGACTGAGTCTGAAGCTATCCCAGTGACTGTCTCCAGGAGAAAATCTAAACCTAATGTGTCCCTGCCATGGCCCAAGCAAAAAGTTGACCTTGAATGTCTCAGAAAGGAATGGACACCAAGCTCTGCAGATTGTAGCTGGCTTCAGATTTAGAAGTGAGGTTTCCTGGTCTCCGTAAGTAAGGCCCCTGCCTGAGGTCTTTTCCAAGAAGGGTTCTATAACAAGAATAGTGGAGTGGAAGCCAGAAAAATCCTTCTAAAGAGCCTAACCACACAGGCCAAGGAGACTTTGGAATGGGAATCTACAAAGAGGGGCAACATCACCAGGTAATGTGGAGCAAAGGTCACTAAACATCTGAGCTGTTGATATCAGCCTTGTCTTGATGCCAGCTCCACGAGACAGGACCTTTCAGAGGTCAAGAGAAGCCCAGACATTTCCAGAAAATTCCAAAAGGGAGTCACCTATGTTTGTCGGTTTCATGTTCTTGACATGTGTTTCTAGACACAGGATGTCTTTACACAGCCAGTATCATGTGTTCATGGCTGTCAAGGTCATCACGGGCCAGTTTCAAAGAACTAGCTCCTGTCTTTAGGTCCTTTTATCTGCTGATGTGAAAAACCCACCCATTCCTGGGACAGTGTCAGCATGTATGTGTGGCCTTACACATACAACATCATTGGCAAAGATTGGAAACGTGACCCTCCAGTCACCCCCATCCTGTGATGGGCCTTAGGATACTTAGAGAGACTGAGGCAAAGATGAGGTCCCAGAGTGGGTCTGGTGCCAACTCAAGACATGGTCGTTACTCCCCTGGGTGCTGGTACAAGCGAGAGCAGGCTGATCATGGTATCCCAAGCCTGAAGAACCCTCATCCACTTACAGCTGGACCAGAGGTGGACCGTAAGTCACTAAGCTGGGGCAGGAAGAGCTGTACAGGCACGCACGCTGCCCAGCCATCATGAAGCCATGTCAGTCAGCGACGGATACAGCCGGGATATTGGGGTCAGAGGTGAAACTGGGTTAGAGTGGGAAAAGCTCGGAGGCAAACGTTCATTGTGAACCTTGTGAGACTGCACGGCACGGTGTGCCGTTTGCTGTCTCACCAGCAGGGTCAGTGCTGAACTCAGACGATCAGACCCCTTTCTGCACCTTCTCTTCATCTTTGTGCATCCTGGATTGACCGAGTTCTTCCAGAAAACCCCTAGCCAGGCTAGGTCTGCACAGGACCCTAAGTTAGAAGCCTCGGCATCCGTAAGACCACAGTGAAGCCCCTTGGTCTCTGAACCTATTTCCTAGCTTCAGGACTGCAAACCAATGGCCCCTGTCGCTTCTACAGTACCACTCCCAATGGCCTGAGAAACCGGCAAGTAACTAACAAAATGGATGTGGGCAATGGAGATGCAGACGATAGCTGGTCAGCATCACCTGCTGGCACCACCTGGTACTGCAGCTGACCTACAACTCAGCCCAAACTGTGGAGGAATGAATTTAAAACCACTGGAGCAGAGAAACAAACACCCAATAAAGAGGCAAAGATCGTATGGAAAGGCAGTGACCAGAGACCGCCATGGTCCCGAAGGTGGCCCAGGGTTCCGAGTTCTTACAAAAAGAAAACTGCCTCTTCGTTTGGCCTCCACAGCCACACCTTAAAGCACCTGTGTGTCCTATGGCCAGCTCTTATTTTCAGTGCATTCTCTGGGAGACTGCCCCGGCCCTGTCAGGACACAGGGACAGTGCTGGAATGGGAACAAAGTTTCCAGCTTCAGGAATTCGCCTCAGTGGCTTATTGGAACGTGCCTCTCCCGTTCAAAGCCAGAAGTCCCCCGCCCCCGAATGCCATGATGAGTATTCTTTACCCTCTGCTGTCTG